GCTCAAATAACCAATGTAAATTATAAATATACTTTAGGTGTTGTGTTAGAAGATTTGGCTAAATACATACGAAAGTGGGTTGTGATAAAAGTGACGTCAACAGTTTGTTAAGATTCTTCTTTCGTGGGTGGACTTGGATGTCAGAAACTTGTCGTTAATGTTCGAATAGAGAACGCTAAAAGAAACAGGAAGAAGTTTTTCTTTCTTTTCTTTTGTTTTCGTTCTTTCTCTTCTGTTTTCCTGCAACATTTCACCAACGTTATTAAGTCTCATACGAACAACCACAAAGGGAAAAATTACTATGTTCCATTATACACACACACATATATATATATATATATATATATATATATTCCACGTATATGTACAGGTATTTCACGTGCAAAAAAAAAAAGGTTTATACTTCTTTTTTGTTGTTCTTTTCTCACCTGTTCATTCAAGAAAAATAACCTATAGTCATGAAACACGCAAGGCATTTCACATATCCACACCCACTCAGTTCAACACACCTGGCTCTTCATTTAGCAAGTATTTTTTTAATCCTTCCCACTAATATTCATGTTTTCGCATTGTCATACTGATTACGAAGTGAGTGAGATTTTCAGCACATCATCAAATGCAGCATGCGACAGATATTTAAAAATATTTTAGCAGTAACGTAATGTTACTGACATGCGCAAAATTTTACTATTCTCACTGATATTTTAGAGCCTTAAAATGACAGCCTCCTGCCAGACGCAAGAAATGAAAACACACCCTGCTGGTAGAACTATCCGCTAATGACAGAGACTCAAAAATGGCGCGCTTCCTGGTTGGAAAGGATGATACTATGTCCTTCAGCAGAACTCCGCTCCTTCCACCATGACCTATGTAAACCATAATTGACTGGTCGAGAATTTTCTAGATAATGTTACGCTCAACATATGGTCTCACATCGTCGTTTAAACGGAGTCTAGCCAGTGTCTCCACAATATCAAAGATCCGCTGAAGGCCGCTAACGTGGACGTAATGGCCAATATCATCTAAAACCCATCTGATCCAGACGTGCAGCCACTTCCAAGGCAGTTCCAGGCCTTCTTTGCGGGTACATGTACCCAATAAAACTTTTGTGTTCCTCAGTGGAACATATGTGTAGTTTGCGTGTCGTCTGTAGCTTCTAATGGTTTACTGGCAATTCTTTAGGAATCCCTGCACTGCATTACAGACTGAATGAATGACGGATAATTCTTTTAGTTTTCTGTTGTAATGTGGGATCTGACAACACAGAACACTTGACAGGGTCAATCGTGATAGTAGTATTGAATACCCAGCTTGACAAGTCACTGCAATAGTATTATCGTCATCCTTTGACAATTACCATAGGACTACTTATCATAAATGGATCAATCCAGTTGGGGGGGGGGGAGTCTCAGCAGGTAATTTGCTATCGCCACGTAGTTGCTTGTTTCACAGCACGCCAAAGAATAGAGGAACGGAGATGCATCTTCACCTTTCTAGTAGTGTCTTCTTACTGTCTTCACGCGTTTTTTTTTTGGTGGGGGGTCTTATATAAAACTTAAACAAAGACAATCAGGATCCCATATCCAGGGGGTTTAGCCCATCTCGTCAAATCTCTAATTAGCACATAAGAGTTTACATTTTGGGTCAACCTACGCATTCTGTAATACAAATTTGAAATACACACTTTAAAATTCGATTGTTTTTTTTTTATATATCTTTGTTTCCCTTTATATAATCTTTTCTCGGTTGCCTGGGGCAATGGTAATGTTGGAAAGTTCCTAAATTGTACTGTTCAATCGAAATGCGCCCCGACAGGTAGGATTCTTGATTCATGGATGAGTCCCTTTAGAAATGTCTGGAACTAGGTACGTGTTACTTGGGACATCTTCGTTGCTACTTCTGTCTTCTCTCATGACAGCAATAGTCACACACACTGACTTTAAAAACGTACATAGACGTGTGCACAAATACACGTATATATAAATGACTTTATGTAAGCAAATATATGAATATAGATTCGACAGTATGAAGAAAAATATATACGGAAAAAACAAACAAAAATCCTTATATACAATTATGCTGTTTTAATGTTAATATGTCAACGTCGGGCGTTTCGGTCTAATAAACCATCTTCAGGACATATTCATAAATGTTAATTATGTTTTATGAATATGTCCTGAAGATGGTCTATTAGACCGAAACGTCCGATGTTGACATTATATTAACATTAAAGAAGCATAATTGCATATTAGGATTTTTTTTTTTTTTTTTCCGTATATTTTTCTTTATATATATATATATATATATATATATATATATATATAAAGAATAATCACACATAGAATTAATCAGAAGTATCAATGCGATTATTGGCGACATCCATCGCTAGAAAACATAATATATGCATTAAAATCCTGTTCATCCATAGTGCGAGTTTTGATCCTTGAAGAAAAACTTGTTGTCTGTAGTTTTTCAGTTTATTTGATGTTAAAATGCTAGTACTTACGGACAGTCTTCCATCCATCATCAGGCATGTGTTTTTTTCCCTATAAAATCAAAAACTTGAGACGATATACCTGTATGTCGACCGAAAGATGTTTTTTGAATATCTGCTATTATTGACGGTTGTAAGATATCGGAACTACTACTATGACATTACACTATATTATTGAACTATATACTTAGTTCATGACATAAAAACCGAATACACTTGTAAAAATAGAATACGTGGATTGAACACATCACAAGAAATATTTAAATAAAATTCTCACTTAAAAATTTTGAAAAACTTAGCGTTGCGTCTTTGCACGTTCCAATATCTTACAATTAAGTTACTACTACAAATATATATATATGAAAGGCATAACCTCACTACTGATGTTCTATGTAGGTTTTGCTTGAGTAAATCAGGATAATTGAGTCATATGAGAAGGCACCGTACCAAAGTACTGGCCAACTACGAAATGCATTAAATCAAAACAAAACATGTCACATTTGTGGCAATGTGTACAAGTCAGCTGGCGGGTTGAAAAGACACGTAAATATTCATAAGAATAAAACTAATGACAGTAAAACGGATGGAACCCCTGTTTACCAACATTGTGCCAGAGGTTTTAAATGTTTATCTGGTTTAAAGGGTCATATACATTTAAGGTAAAACTGAACCTTACAGTTATATCTTGTGATGGCAATATTCGACAGCAAGGTGACGATTCATTATGACAGTGGTTCTGAACGTGGACTCTTACGCCCACAACTGGGTGTGAAAAGTTTTTAAAATGTGCTTGGAGATGGCAAAGAAAAATCAGTGGGCTTTAAATTCTGTTTTGTTTTTTTGGGGTTTTTTTTCCTACTAGCGTAAAATTATGACAACACAAACTGCTTTGTTTTATTTTTAAAGGCAAACAATTCAGAAATTATTTAAATAAAGTTTTTGATGTTTTGAATTAGATTTTTGCTTTGTTTTATTGTGAGGTGTTAGGAAAATTTCATTTGTTTTTCATTTTTTTGTCAAGTTTGATAGATAGTTGGAACAGTGTAGTCATTAGTCAGGCTTTATATTTTCTACTATATTTTGCTTTTGTAAATAAAATGTATTTCCTGTTACATGGAATTTCTATTTGTTCTTAGGTGGGCCTGAAATGTTTTAACACCAAAAATGGCCTACAAAGAAAAGGTTGAGAATCTTTGATATATGAATAAAGTTAGTTGAGAATCTGACGAAATGGTCAATACATAAAACGATTTAGGAAACTTCAATTTGACATGTTTCGCCAATGAAAAATTATTTTATTTTTGTTTTAATGTTCTTTAAATTTTGGGGGCAATTTTTTCGTCATTATTATTCACCAATACAGTATATTCTACCAAGAATTACTTTGGATTAGATGATTTTGATTCAGCTGTCTATATTTCTTAGATGAGGTATTTTAACTACTTACAATATTTACATTGTAAATATCTTTATTGAGATATCCATGACGTTTCAGCCGTTCTACGCTTCAGCCTATTTCAGGTAATATTTCTTGGAATATCGAACCGAATTCTTTATTTAGTCCATGGGTGTAGATTGTTCTAATTCCCCATGCCATAGCCTTTGGATATCTCAGTTTTCAGTTAATTTCCCTTACTTCCCACGTCCCCTCGGCTTTGGCCAGGTATTCAACTCACAACTCTTTGAGTCAAGTCACTTTTGAATCAATCAACCAACGCTTTTATCCACCATAAGTGAATTTTTGAGAATTATAAACATAATGTCTCAGTAATCATATTTTTTTTTTACCAGAGTGCATATTACGATTCTTTGTTATTGTGTTTTTTTTTATTCTGACTCTCTGTATTGGTTCTAACATAGTATTCATGTCTATGCTTGACTGGCTTAAAAAAAATTTATAGTCTAGCATATGCATATGCGCTGATTCCAAGTAACATCACTGAAGAAAGCCGAAGAGTACAACGGATGAAACGTCGTGAATATGGCAATAAAGATCAGGATAACAGTCTGAACAATGTAAATAGTGTAAATACGATTTTTTTAATAGTTTCTGATAAAAAAAAAATATACGTTTGGTTTTTAGCTTTCCGTGGGTCAGGAGTGTAAGTAAAGTTGGATAAGATTCTGACAGAATGGTAAATACTACAACACATCATCAGTTCAGCATTTAATCTCCTTCGAAGTAGTCACGAAGCCAAACAGTTTATCCAGTGCCGTTTTCATTGATGGAAGCATTGCTAGAATGCCTTTTGAGGGATAGCGAGCAGTTGTCTCGTCACATACTCTTGGATTTTCTTGACATCTCTTTCGTTCTCTCTCTCTTTTTCTCACTCTCTTTCTCACTCTCTTTCTCACTCTCTTTATCTCTTTCTCTCCCCCCTATCCTCTTGTTCATTTTCACTTTCTCTCTTCCTTTGATTTTTATCATTTTCATAATAGTCCTATATTTTCATTCTTAATCGTCTTTCTCTCCCTCATGCCATTCTCTCTTCTCTGAATATTTTAGTTTTTCTCTCTATTATTGTCTTTTTTTGTACTATCTACTCTCTCTCTCTCTCTCTTCTCTCTGTTTTTCTCTCATTTCACTCTTCCTCTCTCTATCTTTTTTCTTTTTCTCTCTCTCTCTCTCTCTCTCACTTATTCTCTTTCTTGTACTATCTACTCTCTCTCTCTCTCTTCTCTGTTTTTCTCTCATTTCACTCTTCCTCTCTCTATCTTTTTTCTTTTTCTCTCTCTCTCTCTCACTTATTCTCTTTCTTGTACTATCTACTCTCTCTCTCTCTCTCTCTTCTCTGTTTTTCTCTCATTTCACTCTTCCTCTCTCTATCTTTTTTCTTTTTCTCTCTCTCTCTCACTTATTCTCTTTCTTGTACTATCTACTCTCTCTCTCTCTCTCTCTTCTCTGTTTTTTCTCTCATTTCCTCTTCCTCTCTCTATCTTTTTTTCTTTTTCTCTCTCTCACTTATTCTCTTTCTTGTACTATCTCTCTCTCTCTCTCTCTCTCTCTCCTCTGTTTTTCTCTCATTTCCTCTTCCTCTCTCTATCTTTTTCCTTTTTCTCTCTCTCACTTATTCTCTTTCTTGTACTATCTCTCTCTCTCTCTCTCTCCTCTGTTTTTCTCTCATTTCCTCTTCCTCTCTCTATCTTTTTTTTTTTCTCTCTCTCACTTATTCTCTTTCTTGTACTATCTACTCTCTCTCTCTCTCTCTCTCCTCTGTTTTTCTCTCATTTCACTCTTCCTCTCTCTATCTTTTTTCCTTTTCTCTCTCTCTCACTTATTCTCTTTCTTGTACTATCTACTCTCTCTCTCTCTCTCTTCTCTGTTTTTCTCTCATTTCACTCTTCCTCTCTCTATCTTTTTTCCTTTTCTCTCTCTCTCACTTATTCTCTTTCTTGTACTATCTACTCTCTCTCTCTTCTCTATATTTTCCCTATCCATTTCCTCTATTCTCTTTTTTACGTAATATTTACTAAAATTTGCTTGGTACAGAACAAGATCTAATAGAAATGTATGTATAAAGGAAGATTCTGTATCGCCAGACAATATGCGAAAACCTGATTGATTTTCTTTTCACTTAGACTCGAAAGACCGACTTCTACCATTGGTAAATTGTGGCGCAAGTATTTAGGATGCGTGATAGATTTTATTTTTCCATTTTCTATTTTTCCATTCTTTTTTTATTTCTACGACTTCTCTATTTTCCCCGCTAATTTTTGTTCCTTTTAAAAATTTACCTTCCTTTTTAATTCTTCCCTTATTATTTTTTTTATTTCTACGATTTCTGTTTTCCCCCGTTACTTTTTATTCATTTTAAAGATTTCCCTTCCTTTTATTTCTTTCCCTATTTTTCTATTCTCTTTCCTTTTCTTTGATTTCTTTATTTTTCCTTCTACTTTTCGTTCTTTTTCATTTTTCATTTACCCAGACAAACGACATTTTTATCTATCTATCTATCTATCTATCTATCTATATATATATATATATATATATATATATATATATATGTATGTATGTATGTATGTGTGTATCTTCCACTTTTCTCATTAGTTCTTCATCAGTTTGTTTTTACACTAATTTCTCAATAACTCTCTCACATGATTCGTTCTACAAGTATGCAATAAAGATTACGAGAGTTTAACGTTTCTTTGTCACGCACTTTGCTCATCAAAGGAAAGGGCACCTCTACCGTGTTCTAAGCAGCTGCACTAGCGCCAGACAAAGTGGTGACACAATAAATGTCGCCCGCATAACCTCTCTAATTGCCTACGCTTCTACCATAGAAAAAAAAGGAAAAAGAAACGCTTACTTAATCGAGTAAGAGTTATCTATCAGACGTGTAGGTGGCTAATGGCAGTTTTACACGCTGAAGTCAGAGACTTATCTTCATACAAAACGGCTTTTCAAAATCTTCAACTTTATAGCAAGACAACGTTTCTTTAACGTGATCTTCTAATAGGCTTACACACTTAAAGCTATTGTTACCTTACGTGTTTGTCTAAGTCATAAAAGTATTGTACTTCTTTGGTTTACGGCCACATCACGTTGAAATACTGGTTCACCGAAGTTAACCAACGACAATGCTGGTCAGTACCTAGATGGGTGACCATTTAGGAAGACAAGGTAGTGTAAGCTTAAATGGAATTGTTAATCGGAGGGCCGAGTTTCAATTCCCGTTAGGTTTATTATATTCACTTACGCACAAATACCCTTGGGAAAGATATGAATCCACCTCTTCCCCCTCCAGCTATAGGTTAATTTGTAAGACTTTTATCACTAAATCATTATGCGCCCCCCCGCCAAATTCTTACAGTCTAAAATATTTTCTCGCTTTAAATAACCTGTGAAAGCTTGGTAAATCGTAGAAAATGAATCAATTAATCATTTGCACATATTTCTGCATTTCCCCAGGATTGATTGACTCAGTTCTGGCCGATGATTAGTCATTGTGGATCCTCACGAGTTACTCTTATGTTAACAACCCGACTCCTTTTAATTTACAGATTCTTTTGCCCTGACCGTTCTTGGAAAAGATAGTTGAGTGGTTTCCTCGTAAACATAAAACAGCGCTCTCCATTAACTTTTCACATGGAAGTTGTGTCTATTTTTTTTCCGTTCCTTTTTTCAATTTTCCCTTTCTTGTCATTATCTCTATTTTCCATACTCTTTCTTTTTCTCTGATTTCTCTATCTTTCCCCTCCTTTCAATTTTCCAAAATTGTACTAAAAACTGTAAAAGATCAGTTACACGCTCACAAGGAAACGAAAAGTGAAAATAAAAGCTACAACGTGAAATTAAGATTCTAACTCGTTTCCAATATATTTATATGTTTATTCAGAGGTCCGGGTTGGTAGGTAGATGACATTTAAAACTCTTTCCCTGTTCTGCCATCTCATACTAACATATCGGCTTTTCCTCCTCAACTTTGTCTCCTACCAACTCTTTGTTCATCTCAATATCACGACGCGCGACTGGCAGTTCTAACGGGTAGCATCAGTCTGCTAAGGCCGTATCCCTGTTAACGGGAATCCAGAACCCAGCAACCTTAATCCTAACTGTAACTCTTAAGATATGCCTGTGACCGGAAATCCTCAATATCAGGTTTTGTTGTCACTTGTTCCCAAAAGTTTTCGTTTATTTATTCTTTTATTGCTTTGAGGATGAGTGAGTGATCACATATCTTCATATCTTACATACTTTATCGCTGGACATAAACCCATAACAACTGAGACTGTGATAAAATCGCATATCATCACGTTCTATGTGGGTGTTCCATTCATAGTATATCAGGCCTTCAGGTATGTGACCGTACTCACCACGCTTGGCCAGTTGCGGGATGATGAGGCTACTTAGCCCATAGTTGCAGGTTCTGAATTCAGAGTAGTCCTTCGCATAGTTCGGTTACAACCCAAGGTTATAAGGCCCTGCTATTTACCTCTAGGTGTGGGGAGAAGGGATAGATTCATACCTTTCTCTTCTGAATTATAACTTCCAATTGTTCTCTATTTCATATTTCTGACCTCCTAAGGTTACAGTACTATATAAGCTGATTCCAAATCACTCACAGACAGGAGGACTCATGATCCGATGAATAATCACCTGTTGAACCCCGTTTTGATAGTTTTTAGAATCTGTTCACTTCAGAATAGTGATTGTCTAAGCGCGGCTTAGATGTGGCACAAGGCCGAAAGTATGGGGCAACCAGTGAGGATCGAACTACTCTATCGTAACTGATCTAGCAAGACAAGCTTTCTAACCATTACACCACGTCGAGGTGTTCAAATGATTTTCTAAGCTACGCTTAGATGTGGTACAAGGCCGAAAGTGTGGGACATCCAGTGACAATCGAACTCACTACTCAGTCGTAATTGATCTAGCGAGACAAGCTTGCTAACCATTTCTTAGCCTTGAACCATCAACACTCCCTGTTCAGTTCAGCATATCTGGACTCGTCACTTGCTCATTTCATGAATTAACATTTCACACAGACACGTGCTTAAAAATAAACATTGGGCGCATCCATCTGCGCATTTAGCACACGTCGGCTACTTTACAACAGTTTATCGATAGTTAGTGATTGAGACGTCGTAGCGCTTCAACAGCATATGCTACGTTTCGTGTCGTCTTTGGCTCCAATTCTCCAGCTCCTTACGCTACATCATAGATTGCATCAACGACGGTCATTGCCTTCCTTTTTTCTTTTTTTCTCACTTTATTATATGATGGGGGAGTAATTGTAGTATCGTCTCTAGGAGGAAACGAGAGAGGGAGAGGCTAGGATTTTATGACCACGTGCGGTCTTACTTCACTAAGTAATCTTGGTAAGGTAGGCCTGTTGGCCCTCCAAATTCTTGCAGCCGCCATCGCGCCTTTTCGGCCTTATATCAAAATTTAAACAAAGACAGTCTATTAGATGGCATGCCCACGAGGTCTTCTGGCCAGTAGTTTGCCATTCTAGGATAGTCTACGTATTCTGTAACATAAACAAATGAAGAGAGTTCAAAGAGTGAAAATAATTAAACAAAATTTACGAGTGGATGGTAACAGTTTAGTGAAGAAAAGGCTGGATTTTATTAAATTTCATTCCATTAAATTTTGTTGTAAGTCATGAAGCGTGAAAACCCAGTCTTCTTTTCAAAGGCAAAATTCTAATAGTCTTTCTTTAATGACATTTTTCTTCAGAATGGAGACGATTATGGGCCTCCACGTGTTCCGTTTCTTTATTATCTGTGAATTGTTGTAGATTCTTAGGAAAGATAGTGGAATATTTCCCGTAACATTGTCCATGGTTCTGCATTCTGTTGTTGGTCTCTAGACTGACTACCACCTAAGGCTAGAGAAGCCAGTACTTGCTATTTAAACCTTATATATATATATATATATATATATATATATATATATATATATATATATATATATATATATATATTAATGCCTTTCCCAATGGCATTTAAAAAAAAAAAAAAAAAAAAAGAGCGCAACTGACTAGACCGGAGTTTGAACTTGCTTCGCCAACACCAATTTTTGTGTTGATAACTGTTATGCACATCTACTTAGTTTAGTGTCATTAACTCCGAATGAATAACAATTCTAGGAATATTTCTGAATTTCTGAGTTTATCATTTTTATACACTAATTTATTCGAACTGTTATCATCATAATAAGTCGTAACGTTTCGGTCATTTTAAATTTCAGTCTTCTTCAGGTGCCTACTACATTCGATAACGTTCTCGGCTTCTTTTTAACAGAAGTACAGTCTTAACCCTTTGATTAAATAAAGTGATCAGTTCGAAATTCTGAGAACGTTACCGATTATGACTGGCTCCCGAAGAAGTTCACGTAGAACAACAGCTGAAACGCCGTGAAACCAACAAAGATCACTGTATACTTTTTATGTTTGATAGCATGTGTGTCTTATTTACCTGTGCCTTCTGTTCTGTATCTTTTCGTTTGATATTGTGGGGCGGTAAACTAATGCGAGGCCGACCAATTCACTCAAACAATGCGATCAACCAATGCGACTACCAAGTGGGCTTTCAACGCTGTCAACCAAACACCAAATGCGCCACTTTTGGTAAAGAGAACTGGCGTTGTGCGCAAATATTTTAAAATATTTAAAAATAAATATTCTTCGGAGTGTCTCAAAATAATTGTATTTCCTTTTATGTCATGTCCTTTTTCTTTCATTTTAACTGTCACAATTTCTCTTATTCGCACTTCGACGATGAGTTATGGATTTTTTTTTTGATGTGCCATGTCCTTTCAGGACGTAGGCGATCATGGCTCACCACCTTCCTTTATCCCTTGCAATTTTTAACAAGTTTCCTTTCCTCTACCATCTCCCCCAGACCATGTTCTGTCATCCACTTGCTCAAGCCCGCTAGTTATGTCATGCGTTGTTTTACTTTGTCTCTCTTTCCCTCGATTCGATCCGTGAGTATCAGATTCTCCTAAATCACTTCATCA